GTGTGTGTGTGTGTGTGTGTGTGAGTGTGTGTGTGTGTGTGTGTGTGTGTGTGTGTGTGTGTGTGTGTCCTGCAGTGATCCAGAGGAGCAGAAACAGATAGACGGGTGAATCTGAGTCTGAATCTGACATCTGTTAAACACAAGTCTTCCCAAAACCTGCAGTTACACATTAAACTCACTCCACAAATGTGTTGTTGGATTTACTTTGAAACCATTTTCACTCAGAAGTCACTAGTAAAGTTTACAAATGTTACAAAGTAACACATTGTATTAAACGTGTGATTTTGAGAGTTTTTAAAAGAAAAAAAAAGTTAAAACAAGACAAAATATGTACCTAGGGGCCAGAAAACAAGATTCTTTTTCTGTTTGTGAAAATAGTTTCTTCACCAGTGATATTTTAGTATCACTGAAATAATATTACAGTTTTTATTCATATATATTTAATTTTTTTAAATTAAAGTTTTAGCAATATTGATGTGTTTTTATCATTTTTATTACATTTTTACATTATGAAATTTTTTACATGTCTAGATTAAAAAAAAATTACCTTTTATTTTAGTTTTACTTTCATTTTAGTTATTTTATATTATGTTAAGCTGAATAAAAAAATGGGAAATGTAGCCTTTGCAACATTTTTATTTTATTTTACTGTTTATTTTATTTCATGTAACGAATATGCTTTTTTATGGCTTACGTTTTAAGGTTTGTTTGAATTTCCCTACTGAAATCAGTAACATCTTCACTGAAATAAAGCCAGCGATTACGCTTGAAATGCTGTAAAAATGTCAAACTTATTTGGTTTCTTCCTTCAGGAGAGGAAGCTCAGTTTGGATGTTTCAGAAGAAGAGAGATGTTGAGAAGCGATCCACAACGACTCAAAGATGCTCTGATGGATCCCAGCACATGACTCTGATGCTCTTGCTGAGCTCCAGCTGAAGCAGTGACCACGACCTTCATCCTCTTCATCATCCTCATGAATCAGTCAGTGTCTGCCTGCCATTTTAAGGCCTAATGGATCGGGATTATTGTGGGAGAAATCATTAAAACTGCAAACGCCAGCAGAACTGTGAGCATTTATGAGTCAGTGAAACGTCTTTGCCTCTCATTTCTCCCAGTAAGAGCTGATTTGGATATTTGCATGAAATGAAAACCTGAAATGAAATCAAATGCAGGACTGCAGTGAGAAACATGATGGACATTCACATGTGCTGCTTTCAGCGCTTTAATTAAGCTTGATCATTGTGATAAAACATATCTTATGTTATTTAACTAACTCAGTTAATATGTGAAAATACTTTATCATATATATATATATATATCCTACAGTCCTTAGCCATCTTCAAGAATCAGCTAAAACTCATCTCTTCCATCTTTATTTGACCCTTTAACTCTAGCACTCTCTATTCTAACTCTATTCTTTAAAAAAAACATGCTACTTTTAGACTTGCACTCTATTCATTTACTAACTGCTTGTTTTCTTCTTTTTCTATTCTATCTGTTTTCTTTTTATTTATTATATATGTTTTGATTGCTTCTGTTGTCCTCATTTGTAAGTGGCTTTGGATAAAAGCGTCTGCTAAATGATTAAATGTAATGTAAATATATATCATTTTTATTTTTATTATATATATATATTTGGGTGAAATATTGTTCAATCATCATTCAGCGTGACAGATATATTTATGTAAAAATGAAACAACCTACTTTCTGACCTGTACATATCAAAATATATAAAAGAATAAGTGATTATGCTATTTTTTTTTAGGATAAAAAACTTCTTGCTGACAAATGGGTGGTTTAAAGGATAGTGTGCAAAGATTGGTAAAGACTTACAATGACAATTAATAGTTTCTGGAGTTTTGGGTTAGTTTGAATCAGGTTCTAAACATGCCCGAGCAGATTTTTTAGTATATGAACTATAGTTCCAGTGCCTTTTTAGCGGGTGTCTCCGTGTAAATCCTGCTAGGCACTGGTTTGTGCAGCGGTGTGAGTGGATGGGTGGTCTCCGGGTCTCGGCTTTCACGGGTGACGTCACAGCGGAGCTGATGGCGTCACAGCGCGTCCCGGCGGAGCGTCTCGAGCGCGTTGACGGATCGCAGCAGCAGCGAAGGCCGACGCGACCGTGGCTCCGGCGGCCGGGATCGAGCGACGCCAAGCCGGACACCGAGCGAGGAGAACATGCAGGCTGTAGCGGAGGAGCTGCGGGCCGGCTCCCGGATCCCGGTGACCGTCGAGCAGATCGTCAACGACACGCTGGTGGTGACGCTCACGTACCGCGAGAGGAGCTACACGGGCATCCTGCTGGACTGCAGCAGAAAGTGAGTCGCCTTTCTTTGTGTTTTCGAGCAAAAACACACTTTTGTCAGGTCAGGCCCAGCAGCAGGCCAGGAGAGCACAAGCAGCAGGCCTTAATCAGAGACAACGAGAAGATCATCATCATCATCATCATCATCATCGCACGATAGAAACGCGTATAAATCTGCTCTTTTGTGTCGGATCCTGTGGTTTTTAGTGTCTCGCGGCAGATCTTTCTGCTTTAGCCATGTTCCATCCGGAGCGCTTTCCGGTAACATTGTAACATTGTATCATTTCCAGCTGCAACATTGATTGATTGATGTTTTCACGCGCATTCATCGAGCGCTGAGTGAAATCAACATTATTCTTCATGAAGGCTCAGATGCCATTGTTACAATAGCATACCTGGACATTTCATCTCAATGGTTTTCTTATGAAATCGCACGAGGCCTCTTTTCTCGTGATTATAGGGACCTGTCATTGTCCGCGTTCGATCACTTCATTCCATCTTCCATAGAAATGGTGTCATTTTTAGGTTTTATGAGTTTTAATGTAAAAGAATCAGGTCTTTGTGTCAGACAAAGACAAGTGAGATGTCACTCAACCGCTTCACAAGGTTATATTCCGTTAGAAACAGCACATGAATGTGGATATTTGTGACCCTGGAGCACAAAACCAGTCATAAGGGTCAATTTTGTGAAATTGAGATTTATGGATCAGCTGAAAGCTGAATAAATAAGCTTTCCATTGATGTATGGTTTGTTAGGATAGCACAATATTTGTAAATCTGGAATCTGAGGGTGCAAAAAAATCTAAATATTGAGAAAATCATCTTTAAAGTTGTTCAAATGAAGTTCTTAGCAATGCATATTACTAATCAAACATTAAGTTTTGATATATTTACGGTAGGACATTTACAAAATATCTTCATGGAACATGATCTTTACTTAATATCCTAATGATTTTTGGCATAAAAGAGAAATGTATAATTGTGACCCATATTTTTGGTTATTGCTACAGATATCCCCCAGCGACTCAACACTGCTTTTGTGCTGCGGGCTCACATTTGTATGAATATGAGCAGCTGTGAGGTATTTATAGACACTGCATCAGAATATCATAGAGACTTCTGAGAAAAATGAAATATTTACTGCATTCTTAAACTCTATGTACATTCAGTGTTTATATTAGTAACTTATACCGTACATTTGAATTAAATATTAAATATTTTGACAGCTTGTGATGTAAAGCGTCTACGTATGCTCGGTTTTATTTTCAGCTATTATTAACAGTGGTCAGTCTAATACAAATTATGGAAACCCTAAGTATGAATACCCTTTTTTTATCAAAGAATAAACATAAATGTGTTCAACCACGTAAACCATTTTATGCAACTTTTGTGAAGTCGCTGCTCAGATGCTGCGTTGTTGCCGTTATATCATCATGCGTCACGTCCTGAGTCCTGAGTCATCTCCATGAGGCATGCTACGGTCACAATATCATACTAACTTTGAAAAATTGAACTAGCACATTTACACGATTTTTGCACAAAACCTGGCTTAAAAAAGGAAAATAATAGCCACATGCAGCGTAAAACATGATTTAATATAGATTATTGGAGTATGTTTGTATTAGAAAATACTATTTACTTTGAAAGTAAGTGTATAAAACATTTATCATATTTTTATTATACAAAAATTTAAAAGGTAATTGTGACTTTTTGTTTATATCTCACAATTTTGACACTTTTTTCTCCTTGCAACTCTGAGAAAGAACGGCAAGATATAAAGAATTTTGCTTATTTTTATTTTTCAGAATGAACTTAATGTAAAATAAGCTGAATGCATTGAAGATATAAATCGAG